TACAACACAGTAGCTAAAATGACCGTCCTTTCCAGCATCCGAAAACAAAACAACTCCAAACAAGACTGCTTCCACGGCCTGAAGCCACGTGTACTGTGACCCGAGCTGCAATAGTTTCTTTTGCTGCCCGCTACAATCCGATCCATCGCTCACCGTTCCCACCACGTCAGTCTACTCAGCTATGACTGTTCTGTTATGAAGTCTGGATTCCGGGTTATCCTTCTCCAGATTAACTACCGTGCTGATTCATAAACACAGGCAGAGTAAAATCCCATCGCTACATGGCTTGAAACTCCTTCTTGGGAGTTTCTCCATCTAGAGCAAGCTTCTGCAGCAGCTGCATGAACGTCTGGGGGAGGCACCAAGCCGAGAGCAGCAAGCAGGAACCACTGCTGCTATCGCAGCGCAGCCAGCCCTGCAAGTCAGGGGACGGGATGACTCAGAGAGGCGCTTCCTTATCTCCTCAACTCCTTTTGTTCTGTTTGTCTGTCCCTGGTAGCAGAAAAACCCCTCCAGCGCAGGGCTACCTGTGAGCTCAGCCTTTACCCGCCTTCATCTACCGGAATGAGCAGCAACCCAGGTTAAAGGCTCGAGCCTGGTCTGCTTATTTCAGAGAGCAGGGGAAACGGAGGAGCACAAACTCCTCTGTGCACTCCAGCCGCCACCATGACACTGAGGGGTACTGCCAGCTCTAGGAAGCAGGAAATCCAGTTTTGTGAGAATATCCTCGTTATGTCGTGGGTAACCAGTCCATCGGCAGCCGATTTACCTGGAGTCCCAGCGATCTGTTTTAGAGTCATATTTGTACGTGGGGATGAATTTAATCTCTCCCTCGGTGAAATCTGCAAACGCTTTCTTCTGAGTGCGCTGAATATTCAGCTAAAGCAAAAAAAGAATGCTTAAAATAAATAAATCAAACCCAAACCCAACAAACCACCCCAAACACCCACGCAGCAGCATCAGAGAGAGATCTACAGGCAGAGCAATTGCAGCCTGCGGCCGTGGGATTCACCAGACACCCCCCAAACTGCCCCTCGGACCGTAAACCTTTATCAAAGGTAAAAATCCAACACATCAGTGGAATGTTTTCTAAACAGACTGAGCACAAACTGGCCCAGCGCTGCTTACAGACCACGCAGACAGCACAAAACGTAGTTAAAGGAAATATTAATTTCTCTGCTTGTGCTAAACGCCTTCATTAGTTTTCAGGCTTAAGCATCACCATCGTTAACATTTCACTGCCAATCATTCAGCAAAAGCCTCCAGGAGTGCGCTGACACGACTTTCCTTTCCTCATTTGCTCTTCTGAAAAATTTCTTAGCTGTTTTCCTCACAAAAACCCAAGCTACAGCTGTTTTCTGCACAGCAGCAGTGAGCTACAGCACAGAATCGACCAGGTTTACTGCTAAACCCTGTCGGAGATGATGCTACACCGCTCCCGTTCACCTTTCACCGGTACAATCCTTCAGTTCAACGGCACACCCGGGGCTGCCCCGGTTTTCTGCGCACTGCGGGGAAGCCTACAGCACAGAACGGGGGTCAGAGTGGCCGAGCAGAGCGCCTCGGCTGCAAGCGCTGGTCTCCAAATCAACACCTCCAGGGCACCGACTACAGCAGCTTCTGTCGCTGTTACACACCCCACGTTCTGGCCTGCAGCTCGCGCACAAGGGAGAGCTCTCCCAACAGGAGTTGCAGAGACACCTCTATGGTAACTGCCCGAGTCAGCCGGTGAACGCCGGTATAAGGCCCAGCCTGGTTTTGTTCAGGGGGTTGGTGTCACCAGGACACGCAGAGCCCTGTCTCGGGTCTAGCCCCTGTGTCTGTAGACACTCACTGCCAGCTCCTCCCGCGCACAGGCACACCTCGAACCAAGGTGAGCTCGCAAGTACGCAGCAGGTGTAAGCGGAGTTCACTCACCTGGTCGTACGTCAGCAATTTCTGAAGCTCATTCTTGCTGATGAGACTTTTCACTTCACTGGCATCAGGCAGACAAAGCCTGTAGTTCAAGTCTCCCAGCCAGATGACAACACTGAGAACAAACACGGGAAAGAAGAGGCGGCCGTTAGTATCGCAGGGCACACAGGGGAGAAGGGGCGCGGGAGACTGGACGGCCGGTTGCTGCTGGTTAAGGCGGAGACGCGCGGAAGACAAAAGGAGACGTGAAAGATCAAGTCTGACGGCAGAAATTTCCAGTGGCAGCAGGTACCTCAGTACTGAGTCCATCTCCTTTGGAATCCCACCTGGGACTGAAGCGAGTTGAATGGGAGATACCTGCCTCGGACTGAAAAAAGCCGGCGAACCCCACCAGCTCCCCGAGGAAGTGAAACCGGCGTGCCTCACCAAGCTCCAGAACCTCTCAAGCTACACAAAACCCACCCAGGACTGAGGACTCGGGCTCCTCCTGTGTACAGCAGCAGTGACTGAGCTCGCCAAGCGGAGCCTGCTCCCCAACCAGCCAGGCGGGCTGACGCGCACGTCCCTGCGAGCTCGCACCCCGTGTGGTACCGCGCATCTACCGGCTCCTCCTCCACCGCCCGCCTTTCAACCAGATCGGGCCACGGCCGCATCGCCCGCCAGCAAGGGCTGACTGATGCAGAACTGGCAAAAGCAGAGCTTGGCTCCTGCTTTTTCGGCCTCCAGACTGTCCCTGTCCTCTCGCACCCACCAGCACCTGCTCTTCCCCTGCCCCTCTCTGGGCTCCCCGCAGCCCTCTCGCTATCAGCCGCCAACGGACACTTGTGGTATTCACTCTTCACTCCATAAAGGTTTCATTTGAAGATTAACATCTATACCCCTCTCTAGTATCAAAGCTCTTCCTGTTTATAGTCAAACCTCAAAATTTCCATTAGCGGATTATCAAGGATAATCTAGCATTTGAAGTTTTTTCTGTACTAACCCCCTCTGCATTTTATTTTCAGTTTTTAAATGGTTTAAATATTAACTACAGAAGTACTAATCATTTGTATCACGCTTAAAAAAAACCCTTAATTTATATGTTTTGTGGGACACGTGTTTGAGTTTGACTTGGATTATTCAGCACCACCATCGCCTCATTAAAAATAATAATTAAAAAATAATCCAATATTGCCTGCGTATCATTCAATTAATTTAAAAAGAAGCTGCAACAGCAATCGTAAGCACTTGTGACTCAAAAGAAGCCTGAACAGCCCCTGCCCGTCCGGCTATCCCTGCTCCTCCCCTACCCACACTCCCGTTTCCCACCACAAACCCCCCCTGTTTCCTCGAGCCCTGGAGCGTTCAGCCGCTGCAACGGTGCCTG